TATTTTAATTGTCCCTAGTGCTGTACAAGACCTTTTTTAAGTGTTGAAGTGCAAAGATGTCAGCTTGAGGACTAAGGTGCGCCTGACCCAAGCCATGGTATTTTCAATCACCTCATATGCATGTGAAAGCTGGGCAGTGAATAAGGAAGATTGTAGAAGAACTGATGCCTTTGAATTGTAGTGTTGGAGGAGAATACTGAAAGTGCCATGGGCTGACAAAAGAACCAATAGATCTGTTTTGGAAGAAGCGCAGCCAGAGTGCTCTTTAGAGACCAAGATGGCCAAACTTTGTCTTTTATGCTTCAGACATATTGTCAGGAGGGACCAGTTGCTGGAGAAGGATATCATGTTTGGTAAGGTGGAAGGTCAGAGAAAAAGAGAAAGACCCCCAATGAGACGGATTGGCCAAGTGGCAGCATCGATGGACTCAAGTGTGGCAACACTAATGAGGTTGGCCCATGATCGGGCAGTGTTTCGTTCTGCTGTGCATAAGGTTGCTATGGGTCAGTACCTACTCGATGACACCTAACAACAACAACAAAAGTGTCTCCTTGGAGTCCTGGTGTGGCGCTATGGGTTAATGTGCCAGACTGCAAACTTGTTTGAATCACATGGTTAGCAGTTCAAGCTCACCAGTTGCTCCTTGGAAACACTATTCAGGGTCGCCATGTGTCGGAATCTACTCGATGGCACTTAACAACAACAACAGTGCCTCTTTGGAGTCCTGGTGTGGTGCTGTGGGTTAATGTGCCAGAATGCAAAGCCATTTGAACTGCAAAGTTGGCGGTTCGAGCTCACCAGTTGCTCCTCAGAAACCCTATACAGGGTCGCTATGGGTTGGAATTGACTCACTGGCACTTAACAACAACAGTGCCTCTTTGCCTTTTACTGCAGGGAACAGCGCTATATAGCTAATGATTCTCAGAACCCAGCTGGCTCCATATGACCCATTCTCTTTCTATTATCCCTCTGATTATGGACTGAATCTGGTTTCAAGGAACCCATATATACTGATTGTGACTCTTGAAAGAGTTAAAATCTGCTGATTGTGACTCTTGAAAAAGTTAAAATCTGCCTGCTAATCCAGTGGTGGTGGTGGTGTGCCAAGGGGTGGGTCCTGACTCATAGCTACCCTGTATAGGGTTTCCGCGGCTGTAAATTTTTATTGGAGCAGAGAGCTTCATCTTTCTCCCTCCAAATGGCTGGTAGTTCGAACTGCTGACCTTAAGGTTAATAGCCCTGCTAGTAACCACTATACTACCAGAGCTCCTTAAGCTAATTTAAGACCCAAGGAAAGATCTAGGAGCAGATAAAAAAAAGGCCCCTTCAATCGCTTTGGAGTCCTAAGGGTGGAGAGAGGATGGAGCAAAAGAGAAAGGACAAACCAAGGGGAGCAGAGGATCCAGTGGGGCAGCAGATGAACATGCAGGGGTGACAACTCAAATTGTTTGTCTTTTGGTTTATACAAATCTAAAAATATCCTACAGACCGGGACAATATTCCCTAGTGTGACATAGCTTTAAGTTAACATTCCCATCTCTCTCAAAGGATGCATTTGGCCACAAAAAAATTCACATACTGAAGCAAAATGGTAAAATAAAATAAAAAAAAAAACAGGTGGGGGAGAGAGGCAGGTGAGGTGAAAGAGATGGGAGATGTGGGCAACTTATTAGTAGCAGTATCTCATTTTTCACCCCCAAAACACATTGATTATAGCATAGCTACACTCAAAAAAGATTATTGAAACAATTGTTCATATGTGACAGAAAAGTAATTTCCATTTAGATAAACTTTTAAATCATGGTTTGGGAAGTGTTTTCTGTCTTTGTTAATAATGGATTAGAATAATGTCTTTGTTACTAATGGGTTATATAAAAAAGTGGATCAATATGTAATTTCCTGATTAAATTATTGCTAGACTGTGGTATTTGTAGGTGATGCTGTTGAGAAGACATTAGAGCAAGGGAAGAGTTCTATGTCACAAAAACAGTATTTCAAGCGTAGAGTATGGTGTCTTCTCTCTCTTTCTCTCACCATTTCAGATAGATCAGGTTGATTGTGGAAGAAATTTCTGCTTGGTGCTTCCTCTGCTTCATATCTCTACGAATTGCTGAAAAACTCACTCCTCCAGAGATGTGCTTCCATAGTATATGAACAAGCTTGACATTTCCCTGGATTGAATCTGATCCATGAGGTCACCCAGATCTAAGGCATGCTCACCCACATTTACCTAAAGTCAGGAGAGGATGCTGCTAAAGGGACTGGAGCCCTAAGAGTTTTCTTTCTTCTAAACTTATAGAATTAATGGGGTTTTCTAAAATTTTACTGCACAGAAAAATGGCAGCTGGATTTAGTCACAATGAACTAAGTCAACTGTGGCTTACATAGTTTTCATACAAACTGTGTCTTCACAAAAGCAGTGTAGGGCAGAGACTGCAATCCCCTGGATGTTTCTGGTAAAAGTCTACTAAATTATTCTATCGCTTTAGTTCCTCTATTTCACTTTGTGATTTCATATATTAGCTCTGAAAAACCCATGCTAGACCTGGTAATAAGAGAATTACATGATTTTGTTGTTAGGAATTTACAGAATAAATTTCTAATCTTCATTCTAAGAGGGAATTTAGTTTACCTATTACAGGTTTGCAGAAAACAAAAGTAGGATTCCCAACCATGCACTTGTGAGCCCTAACTTTTAGCACAAAGGACTGTAATTTCAACAGGAATCCACTATGTGTCCGTAGGGATGAGCAAGCTCAGCTCATAGAGCTCTCAGCATACAAAATCCTGCCTTAAATTGCCCTTTCTTGCCATTTGCTGAATGTCTGTTCCCAGGAAGTCATCAAGAAAAAGAATCCAAAAGCCTATGAGAGTCCTAGAGAGGTGCAGAGGGATTAATGGTTGTTATTGTTAGATGAACATAAATGATTTCTGCAGGACTACAAAGCTGCTCCTCAGAAAGATTCCAAAAAGAACTCAAACCCACTGCCATCAAGATGACTACAGCTCATAGTAACTGTTTATAGGGTTGCTGAGACTCAGTCTTTACGGGAGCAGACAGCTTCATTTTTCTCCCACTGAGCAGCTGATGGGTTTGTACTGCCAACCTTGTGGTTAGCAGCTCAGTGCCTAGCCCACTAAAACAGTTTGAAGTCTTCTTAATTCTTAGTCATTCCAAGACTATGTCACCATTGCAAGTCTCACAAAGGTGAAATTAAGTGAAGTCCAATGTTGACTGGGTGCTACAGTAGAGCCGGGCGAGTTGGGCAGAAGCTTCCCAAATGATGCCCAAACTGTTGGTCCTGGGATGACACTCGACATTCAGGGAAGCTAGATGCAAACTGACTCCTGGAAATTTAAACTAACCAATGACCTCCAAACACCTGGACAGGATCAGTGGGGGAAGTGGAAGATGACTGAGGGAAGGGGTAAAAATGAATTCTGCAGCCTGAGCCCCTATGCAGTTGAATTCAGAAACCCAACCAGATGGGGACACTGGGCAGACTGAAGGTGAAACTAGGGTGCTGGTTGTCTGGAATGGAGACGTTGGCAAGGAAGAGACAGATGATAGATAAATGCCTCTGACTATGAAATTTTGTTCAGAGTTTTACATGTTGCAATTTCATGGACTAAAGTAACATAGAACAAATAAACCTTTGAGGTGTGTTCATTTTGTGCTGTTTTGTTTTGGTACTGCTTTTTACCTGGACAAGTTATATACGAATTTGGCAAAATTAAGTCACCAAAGTGGACACAGCTGAAATAGAACCCTGAGGCCCAATTCTCTGGTATGTCCAAAATCTTCTCTTCTTCTTGCTTATGAAATTACCAGACCACAGGAAACTGAAAAACAAAATCCGTTCCCATGCCCTGCCCCACCAAACTTGCCATTGGTGTTAGGTGCGACTCATGGCGACCCTATGCCCAACAGAAGGAAACACTGACTGGCCCACGCCATGCCTTCCTCACAGGGATTGCTAAGCTTGAGCTCATTGCTGCTTTCTAAACCCTGAGGCAAAAACTGTAAAAAGAAAAATTGTTAGCAAAGAAGTTGTGAAGCTTTCTTTTTTAGGATAGCACAAGCATTTTAATGATAGGTAAACAAAAACTCATGACTATCAAATTACATTAGTGATACACAATAAAATAGCAGATTTTCAGTTAAATATAGAAAATGTGTGGGCCCTTTAGGACTGAAAAATAAAACCTGCTTGCCCTCCCAGATTTCTCCATACATCACAATCTACTCGAGGAGTAGATTTGGCACAGGAAGAGGAAATTCAAATCTGATATAGAAATAGAGAAAGTAACCAACAGATTCTTTTGCTGAGTCTTTTGATGACTTGAAACTTGAATGACACCCAAGCTAAATCTCTCACGCCTGCATACAAATACTTGTTTAAAATTTGAGAGAATAAATTGATCATTTAGAAGGCAAAGTTATTCTAATGAAATGATGTGTGGAACTTTTTTTTAAAAAAGAAAGAGGCATAATTGAAACCCCAATGGGTCCAAACAGCTCTTTTTATTCCCCAACAGCTGCATGTCCCAAAAGTATAAAATATCAAATACAGCAACATTGCCAGACACTCCTGAATGATACAGTACCATCAGTACACACAGATAAGACCTGAGACCCACCAAGGTTATATGCAGGAAATCAAAGGCCTAGGAAGAGCAATAGTTCAAAATAACTAAAAATAAACCATCTTCTGTATGTATTCCTATCATAAGAGAAGATTCTGTAGGTTGGAAAATAAATCACTTGTCTCAGTGGTCCCACCTGAGCCTATTGGTAGCCTTCCCCAGCTTGTAAGATCAGGTTCCCAGAAAACAAAAGACTGAATTGATTGACTTTCTTACCTACACCTGTAGCCCTAAACATGGTAGCAAACTCTTAAAACAAAAGCTAGACATTAGAGGCATTTTTTTTTTTGGTTATTTATGCTTTTTTCTTTATTGCTGGTGTTCTCTTTCTCTTTGCCATTTTTCCTCATTTTCTATTCACAGAAGAAGTCAATATCCTGGAGAGAAAACAAAACAAAGCAAAGCACCTGACCTGAGCAGGTAAGGCTACAAAGAAATGTAGGTTATTTATTTAAAATCGTATTTAATCAAAGAGAATAATGGGTCAAAAATAAGAGAAGATTGAACTATAAACAGTATGAAATAATTATCATTGTAAGTAAAAAAAAAAACTACTTAAAATAAAGGTTCTCAAATAAACTTTTAACTTACTGCTATTTGACAGATTTATATTAATGCTATAAAAACAAAGACAAGTGAGTCACATTTTGTGTAAGCTGGACTATGTTTTAATGTTATTTAGTACATTATAGCATGACTTCAGAAGAATGATTTTCACCCTTCAAAGCAACCACCTTGTAAAGTAGCTAAAAGATGGATCTTTTAATTCTTTCCAGGATTTATAGGCCCTCAGGGCATTAGAAAAAGTGTGACTTTATTTCACAACAAAATAGAATCTATCTACTACAGAATTACACCCCCTTGGAAACCCTGTACTGGGTCGCTATGGGTCGGAACCGACTCGATGGCACTTAACAACAACAACTACAGAATTAAAGCAGTTATATATGTTTCCAGAATGCTCTAGTTTTATCAAATACAGGTGCTATTATTTTTTGCCAAACCAAGTCTTTATTAAATAAGTCGTTGTTGTTAAGTGCCGTCGAGTTGGTTTTGACTCATAGCGACCCTGTGTATGGGTAAATAATGTTAACTGACTCTTAACCACCAGTAAGAACCAGTTAATATCCTTTTGGGGATTTTTCTTGGATCCTTTCCAGGATCTTGCACCTAAAACAAAAGGGATGGACAGTGTGGAGAAAAATCATTAATATCTTGTCATTGACAATAGGTATAAATACTCCTAAAAACCTCATTATTTCAGAAGTTTCCACTAAGTTGGGCGCTTGGATCTATCTTGGAAGGTACGTGAAATATTAACACCAGCTCACAGTACCCCACAGTCTGAGTCCTCTTCTGTTACATTTGAGATGCTTACTGGGGTAGGAACTTCCTTGATGGCTTCATTGTAAACACGCTGCTCATGGACCAAAGTGCTGGGGAAATAGCCCACAATTCCCATCTCATTTTCATGACCATCACCATAGACCTGAGTTCCCAAAACAGTAACTGATATAAGTTCTCTTCTGAGACACCCTTCTTTACTGAGGATAAGAATTATTACTTAATGGCCAATTCCCAGAGGCTCACAACTAAATCTGAAGTTCAATTATACCAATAAATGCATGCACAGGAATTTTGTATCGATTCCCTTGAGGCCCAATCTTACTTGACTCACCAACTTATCAATATTTTATGCAGATGTCCCCAGGTGCTGCAAGCAGTTAATATGCTTAGCTGCTACCTGAAAGGATGGAGATTCAAGTCCATCCAAAGGTACCTTGGAAGAAAGACTTGGCAATCTAATTCCCCAAACAAAGTTATTGAAAATCCTGTGGAGCACAATTCTACTTGTCATACATAGAGTCAACATGAGTCTGTATCAACTCAATAACAACTGGTACTGATGTTTATTGTATGTAATTTTGTGTGTTTCCTGAAATCTTTTTGGAACCTACGTAGGAATACAGTAAACAAGTTTAAAAGAACAAAAACCAACAAACAGATCCTTTCATTCTAAAGGACTCATAGTTCCCAGGTTTTTATAAAGTTCAGTTGAACACATACTTAAGTGAGATATTTTAATAAAGATCTAATTTTTCATTACTTGAGAACCACTGTTTGGAGCTGCAGGTGGGAGTGGCACTGTCAGGTTGTATTCAACTTACAGTGACCCTGTATAGGGTTTCTAAGACTGTAAATCTTTACAAGAGCAGAACACCCCATCTTTCTCCCATGGAAAAGCTGGTAGATTTGAACTGCTGATGTTGCAGTTAGCAAACTCATAACCCACTCTGCTCCTAGGGCTCCTTTGGGGCTGCAGGAGATAGTGTGGCACTGTGGTTTAATGTGCTTGACTGCAAAGTTGGTTTGAACCACAAGGTTGGTTGTTCAAACTCACCAACTGCTCCTCGGAAACCTTATACAGTGTCACTATGGGTTGGAACCGACTCTCCGTAGCTCATAACAACAACAACAACAACAACAATCCTTCTCCAGGTGCCTCCTTCCTTGGTATGTTTTAACTAAAGAAAACAGATTCAGGAATTAAAGAGGGTGCTACAGTTTCCTAAAAGAATACAGAAATATATACTGACTGCCAACAAAAATTCCTTTTACCTGACAAATCCTCTCAAGCATTTTTAAATAAGATTCAAACAGTTTGAGATATTCAAGCCCCAATGTATTTGACTTGTTTTTCTAGTCAAAATGTCTAAGTATCCAACTTTGGTTTTGTTAACAAACTTATCATTGTTTCTTTGAAATGCAAATAATGGCATATAAACAGGACTTTTTGCATTTGCATCTACAAGGGGATTTCAAAAGTTCATGGAAAAATTTTATTAGCCATGAATCCCATTTTTCTATGAGCTTTAAAAAACAATCTTACATAGTCTCTACACTTTTTTTACAAACTTAAAAAAAAAATGTGTTAAAGATAGAAAATAGAGAAAATATTAAGAGTAACATGTGTCAAGAGATGTGCGTATATTTTAAATAATCTCCTCTTACACTGCCAGCCCCAAATTCTCCAGCTTCATTTTCTTTTACCAGCTTTGAATAAACATAAATCTGTTGTCCTTTTTTAACATTAATGAATCTACAGTCTGGGGCATTGTAATCGTCTTGAGCTCTGGCCAGAGAAATGGTATCTATTAGGGGAAAAAAAAAATGGACATGACTATGTTTTAGTCTCTTGCATTTTATAATGTTAGTGAGAAAGCAAAGCATATAAGAAAACTAGGAAGTCAGAGTGACTCAAGCCTCATAAAACACAGTTCATGTTCAACTCAAGAAGAGTAAGATAGTTAAGATTTGAAAGCTGCATCTGACAAGTTTTTAGCCAAGCAAATTTTCTAAGTAAAGAAACAAGCTTTCATAACAACAGAAATAAGTGAATGTTTTCATTATATAATAGATAAGGACAAAGGCATAAAAAAGGTCCTTACAGACACACTCATCATCTGCACAGAGCCTTTTGGAAGCAAGTTTGTCCATAAATATTCCATTCACAGACCATATGGCTACAAGACCTGGGAAGAAAAGTAAAAATATCCGTGCCATGTTCCTTTTTAGTTGTTGTTGTTGCTAGCACCTTTTGACTAGAAGTGGGGACTGACTTTATTGATTCCTTCTTTTTATGTGAAAGATGGACATCTGGGTAGATGCCTTTGGACAATGGGAAGTGTCCACCCCCCTCTGCTTTCCTCAACTGCTCACTGTCTTCCTGTTATTTTACCATATGCTTTTCCAAAGAGAATCAAATTCCCCCATATATATATATACACATATACAAACACTATTCCAAATGGTCTACCTTTATTACCTTTATTACCATCATGTCTTCTGTGGTTTATTTCATCCAGTGAAAGGACTCTGAGATTTTAACATCACTTTTTATATTCTACCTCATTTTCTTTAGATACATGAGCAATATAACAAGCTAACTGTAGAAATCTATTGAAAATCTAAAATCTGTATCTTTAGTGCAAATAGTTTTGATTTAAGCCAAACAAATTAATGCACATCTAGCTCTGGTGTGTTGATGCAGGATAAGCCTTGACAGCTAACTGCAAGGTTGGTAGTTCAAACCCACCAGCTGCTCCTTGGAAACCTTTTACAGGGTCATTATGAGTCGGAATCAACTCTACAGCACTTAACAACAATAAGATTTAGATAACACATAAATAAAAGAATTCTTAGGCTTGCAAATCTTTCCTGATAGGAGTTTTAGAACTAGGGATAAAGTATAACACACTTGTTGATGGTACTGAGATATGGGAAGTAAGCATTTTCTTATCCCTTCTCTGAGATTTGAAATTCATTCTCAAAATACTTCAGATCATGGAGGAGTAATGGTACAAAGTTCCGTGTCACCCCACACCCCTCTCCATTTCTAGATAGCTTCTCAATGGCGAGAGGGTGCTCATAAAAGTTACCCATATTGAATCTCCATCTATTCAACAAATATTTACTGAGCACCTACTTACTGCCAGGCGATGTTCTAGTCACTAGCAAGACAGCAGTGAACAAAACCAAGTCCTGTCCCCAAGGATTCCTTTTCTATTAGAGAAGACAGACAATGAGTTGCTGGGTTTTACAAAATGCTGGGGTTGCTGGAAGTTCTCAAGATGTAGCAGCTATCATAGGCGACATTGCTTCGAGAATAGAGGTCCCTGTCAGAATGCCTTGCTCATTTTGGTTGGTCGTAAGTCTTCAGAGCACTATCTTAAATGTGGTCACCCACAAAATGAGGAACTAGTATTGGCTTACAAAATTATTTTATACAGTGTCCCAAGAGGCAAATTTATAAAGCAAATTTTTTGTTATAGATAAAAGGGTTTTGTTGTTTGTCTCAGGCATGTGTGTTATTTTGGGAGGAGGATATTTTATATGGTTGGTCCTGATTTGAAAACTCATTTGATTTAATATCCTTTATACAGGTAAAGAAACAGGTCCAACAAAGGCCATAGGTGCTTTTCTTAAACTCCTTATCTAAAGGTTACCCCATAGAATTAAGTATGGTGCTGTTTCCATTAATCCACTGTCAAATTAAAATTGGGGTTTTAAATCCTTTATTTCCTATTTCACTTCAAGGTTAGAATGAATTAGAAATCTTATTTTAAAGCAAAATGCTAGTGCAGTCTTCCTTCCTATAACCTGGGGACCTACAAGGTTCTCTTTGGGAAAACTAAAGCATTAGTTTAATCTTAGTTCTCATCCAGCAGCTGTTTTACAGACTGTCAATCTCAAACCAGCTCTCAACACAATTGAGTTTAAGAGGCACTTTAAGTAATGGGCTGTGCACGCTCAGGCATAGGACCCTCAGTACAGAGATAAAGCCGCTTCCATTGTAGCACAACAATCTAGGAAGGCTAATGCTAACAGGATGCCATTCTCAGCCATTTGAACCAGGAGCCATAAAGAAAAGAATTGCCTTCTGAGTACCTACAACAGGCCTGGGGTGTTCCAGCATCTGCTGCCAAAGAGAGGCCCTTGTTAACACTTTGCTTGCAAATAGGAATTTAAATTTCTAATTCTTGAGCAAATTCAAAACTGCAGTCGCTAGGGTGAAAAGAAGGTTGCTCTCTGGATTTCCACATGTATCCTCTGAGCCTGTAACCCCCAAAGACAATTTTTTTTCCTTCACCTCCTAAATTGGCTCCTCAGGCAGAGCTCCTAAATGGAGGTTGTAGTATTCATTTTAGGGTCTAAGAATAGGATTGTGCAGGTGAGTGGGTGAGACCAGCAGCCCTGGAAGTCCTATCTGAACTGCCCCTTGGTCTCACCTTTAGTCTCTCACTCAGTCTTTCTGTCTTTGGCCCTTTGAGTTTGTGAGAAACTCTCAAGATTGCCCATCTTCAGTAATAAAGGGCTCATGAGACTGCTCATGAACTTTTAAATAAAAATACTGCCATTAAGACCACGGGTGAGCCATTTTGGCTTCTCTGGTGGGGAGAGAAATGGGACTGGGACGTGCAGGGTAGAATTATAAATGGAAAACTGGAACTGGAGGAGAGGTTTTTTCGAGACAGGGGAATAAAACTATTTGCGGCTGGCCATGCGGCACCAGATTTTGCAAAATTGAATAAAGGAACTCTCACTCTTGCTAAAATGAGTACAGATTGGATTACTTGAGTGTTTTGGAGGTATCCATGTTTCCCCCTGGATTCTGGTAGTCAGGTCTCTGACAGCCCAGTTTACCATAGATGAGACTTTCTGTTCCTGCAAAGATTTACAGTCTAGAAAGGGTCACTGTGAGTTGGAACCCACTCAATGGCTCTTAATATTACACACACATGTATTGACAACCTCAAGGTCAGCAGTTCAAATCCACCAGCCACTCCTCAGAAACCCTATATAGGGTCACTATGTAATGGAATCAACTCTAGGACACTTAAGAACAATGTAGTATGTACATTTTTTAAATTTTTATTTTTTTCTCCCCTATTACACACCTCAAAAGGAGCTCTGGTGACGTAGTGGTTAACAAATCGGGCTATGCACCTTAGGTCAGCAGTTCGAAACTGCCAGCTGTTCTGCAGGAGAAAGATGAGGCTTTCTGCTCCTGTAAAGATTTATAGCCACGGAAACCCTGTACAGGGTTGCTATGAGTTGGAACCAACTTCACAGCACCTAACAACAACAACATACCTCAAGGAGTCCTAGTGTGGCACTTAGGGTTAATGCGCTGGACTGCCAAGTTGGTTTGAAGCTCAAGGTCAGCAGTTCAAGCTCACCAGCTGCTTCTCAGAAACCCTTTACAAGGTTGTGATGGCTTAGATCTGACTCTGCAACACTTAACAACAATACCACACCTCAATGTAAAGAAAACAAAAATTCTCACAGAAACCCATACAGGATGGCTGTGAGATAGAAACCACTAGACAGCACTTAACAAAACTATCAAACCAGTAAGGAGTCCTGGTGTTGTAATGGGTTAAGTATTGGGCAAGGTCATTGGTTCAAATGTACTAGTTGGTCCTTGAGGCAAAGATGAGGCCATCTCTTCATTGTTGCAGTCCCCTCACTTCCATTCATCTTGTGGATCAAGTTGTGAACTTAAGGAACCATACAAACATACTAAGCTGTCTACTTGCTGGTTCCTTTTAACTTCCAGTCCTGAAGTTCTGATGAGCACTGACTTTTCCCGCCTGCCTGCATTCAAGGGCAAACCAGCAAACAGTCCACAGTTCTAAAAGCAAGTTGCCTTTTTTTTAATTTTCTCTTCTCCTCTCAGCAGTTCTGGGTAGATTTGCATATCTTTCAAATGCAAATTTCTGCTTCTAAATTTCTGGGAGGGGTTCCAGTTTTCCACCTAAACTGCCCATACTCTACTCACTGGGCTACTGAATGGAAATAAACAGCCTGTTTCTTTTCCAACAAATCTTAGTTCTCCTTTTAGTAAATCCAGTCATGTCTTGGGTGGCACTGTAGGATAAGCACTGACTATTAATCTCAAGGCCAGGGGTTCAAACCTACCAGCTACTCTTTGGAAACCCTATACAGGAACACTATGAATCTGAACTGATTGCAAAATATATGTCTAAGTTAATGGGTGCTGCTGTAACAGAAATACCCCAAGTGGATGGCTTTAACAAAAATAAATGTATTCTCTCACAGTTTAGAGGGCTGGAAGACTAAATTCAGAGTACCTGCTCTGGGGAAAGGTCCTTGTCCCCTTTCAGCATCTATAGGCCCACCATTCCTAGATCTCCCTGTGTCTTGGCATCAATCTTTCCCTGGGTCTAGGAGCTTCACAGTGCAGGGACACACTCCTCTTCTGGCTTTCCTATTCTGGTGGTAGTGGGTCCCTCACTTTCTCTTTCCTTTTATATATTAAAAGAGACTGAGTAAAGATAAAGCCTAATTCTATAGATTACATCTGACCTCATTATAATAGAAGTGAAGATTGATAACACCTATGATAATCACATCAGATCAGGGGTGATCACATCAGATCACATCACATGGGTGATTGCATCATATTATATCACATCATGGGGATTGCTAACAAAACCAATGAAAGTTCAGGTCCAGCCAAGTTAACTCAAAACCTCACCATCACAGCACTTAACAACAACAACCATCAAGTAATTGGTTAACAGCAAAGTTCCATATTCTCTAATTTTTAAAATACTCTGTATTTATTTTCATCATACAGTTATGCCTGTTTTACAACACCAGGTAGGAGAAACATTCCTGCAGTCAGTACATTTAGATAAACACATAACCCTTTTTCAAGCATTCTGGTTTCATTCTCTTTTCTCCACCTTTGACTATCTTGACTATGCAGCTTTCCTATCCTCAGTTTCCCTATCTGTTGCTCCAATATAAAAGCACTTGCTTCCCATTTAGTCTTTACAGATAATAACCAAATTAACCATCCAGTATTGAGAAGTTGCACTTCTCATAACCTTTTGCCCTTTCTCTTTTAATGTCTTATGTTTCCATGAATCAGGAACCATAGCAACAAATGCCACTTATGACACTAACTAGAAACGAGTAGCTACAGAAGACCTTTAATTTCAGGAGGGATAATATGAATTGGCATCAGGCTGATT